AAAAAAAAAACAATACAAAAAAAGGCTAAAAGAAAAACAGAATGCTGCCACCTCTGGATAATTCAATAGGGGGAAAAATCACAGAATCCATTTGCATTTAGAGAACAGAAATGAGTTAAAGCATACATTTAATGATTTTGAGCAAGAACAACGCACGTTTTGGTTGGATTTCTTTGGAAGTATTCCCACATTTCTCTCTGCCTTTATAGTTTAGTTTGAAAATCTGAAAAAGATCATTTAAAGCTTTATTAAATACTTACAGAACAATGTTTTGGATCAATTTGCTGGCAGAGTGTAAGCAGGAGGATTTAGGGCTCACTGCAAATCAACAGTTTATTGGACATGAAGACTGAAGGCTGGGATGCAGATAAAAATTATCTGGGCTCCAAAGTCATCCGGTTGTCAGCAATCATTTATAGCAGCTTTAGCATGGATGTGTCTGCAAATAATTTCYGTTTTTGTAGAAGAACAGTGTAACKTTTCTTCATAAAAGCTCACAGGYGGCTCTGAACAGACTCAGCACCTGTTCCTGTTTAGACACCTTGAAAACACATCGAGCTGTCGGTGAGGAAACATGAACATATATTTAGCAGTGAAAGCCATGGAAGGAAATGAACTCTGCCACAGGAAGTGACATCACACTTAGATCTTTAATTTGCTGCCTCTGTGTGTTTGTTTGTGTGCAGGAATGGAGCAGCAGGGACGCAGAAACAGCATCCAGATCTTCTCTCTGGAACCCCTTCTCTACCTTCACAACCCCGATCCATTCCATCCATTAGAGATGTTTGCTTCTTTTATAACTGTGTGCATGTATGTGTATGTGTGTGAGAGAGGGTATTTGTGTATATGTTTTTATATTTTATCTAAGTAGCAACAGTTGGAGTTGCACAGCAGGACAGGAAAGCAGTATTTCCTCACTTCCTGTTTCATTTCATGTGTAGCAGTCATTGTATAAWTTGACAGGATGTGATGTTTCTTTGATCTTACTGAGCCTATCATTCTAATTAAAGATTTTTTATGAATATTTTGAAGCGTTTTATGTGGAATGTGTCTTTTTTTAATGACTTACATAAACATTCATTTTTAACAATAATTCTCACACTGATCATGATCAGTGAATCGATWCATTCAATCAGGATGAACCTTTGAAATCTAGTGGGAGAGCCATACACAACTTTTCTWTTTTGTTTATTAAATACTAAACTCTCATGTGTTTTTGTACAAATAAGTTTAGATGTGAATCATTTTAAACGTGTTAAAGTACAGGACATATTTCACATCCTGATGTATTAAAATCTGAGGTAAAGAGTTCAGTTTGGACTTTGACTGATGACTTTTTGTTTGAAGTTCTTATTAATGAAGTTCTTTCACATGTCAAGAATCATGTAAAAGTTGCAGATAAATGTATCTCAGATTGTATGTTTTGAAAATGTTTGAATTTTTTTATTTTAAACACCAAAATTTATAGTATATTTGTTTGGTTTGTGAAGTGAACCACACTTTTATACACTTATTTTCACACATTGTTGGAAAGTACAGGTAGTAAAAGCAGAATACATTTCTAGCATCTAAAGTAATAACTCTTATTTGTCAAATAATGAGTCAATTTGTCAAATAATAAAATTTGTCAAATAGTTCGTGAGCTATTTTGAGAGAGAAATACAGGTAAAAAACATTATTTTTTGCCTTTTGGTGCTGAGCAATAAACATTTCAGGTCCAATCAATAAAATATTTTGTACAAACTGACACACTGTATCATTTTGGGATGAAAACCTTGAACAAACTGACCTGCTGTAGTTTGTTTATATATTCGACAGAGGGCGCTGTTTATTTACATAAAAAAAAACTTGCAGAACAGTTTAATTATGGTCATTTATCATGCTGATTTTGTTCATCGTAACAAAACCTGTTCCTGGCTCTTTGGAACAATAATAAAATTTAAAAAAAATCATGACATAATCAAAGGACTCACTGGTTTCCTTTTTCACCCTGTGATAAAGAGACATGCAGCACATTATYCCTCAGATCTGTGTCTGAAAGTTTATGTTCTGTGATGATAAAAGAACAAGAAACACCTCCCTGTTGTTTACTCATTTTTTTCGTGAAGCAGCTGTTATTCTGACTGCCATCTCACTGGTTTCCTCGTCTGCAGAGCAGACATATGTTTCCACTGTTCTCTGATGAAAGATGAAAACATTTGGAGTAACGCAGAAGATGCCAAAGTTTGCTTGGTATGTCCTGGTCAGCTTAACTCCTCCAGTAGGCAGACTGGAGACCTTCACTAAACCAGATTGTGYAAATCTGTTTGTATAAGAGGCAGAATAATGACAAAAGGCCTCAGCAATGTGAGTCTAACAACATCACTGATCTATAAAGTCAACTTTGGACCCCTCTGGCAGACTGCAACCTCATCCTGTGTGTTTCAGTGTGTGACCAAAAATTAACCACAAAAGACAAATAGATCCTGACGTTATGGGATAAAATGAACTGTTGACCAAGACAGGCATCTTCTATGGGAATCAGTGATCAAATTTATAAACCTTGATATATTCTGACATGAAAGGCAGGATTATGTTTTCCTTCAGGTCTTTAATTTCTAACAGGAGCTAAGTATGGTAGCTTTTGTGCTTATAAAACATTTAAAAGTTGATGTCCTTTTGCAAGTTTATTWAGTCTATAAAACATCAGATTCTTATTTTCTTTGTAGCTAAAACTCCTAATATAACAGTGAATTATGTTTTCTTTTCACAAGGCAGTGAATCTTTAGATTGTTCTTTTTTATGTATGAGTGAGACAATGTATGTGACTTGGCGCTATATATAAATAAACTGAATTGAAATGAATTGAATAAAATGCTGTATCACGTTTAAATACTGCTTGATGATTCTCACCATYTTGTGTTAATGAACGTCATCAGGAAATAATCTTTAAATAGGTCCACTCCTCTTCGCACAACGAACCACAGCGAGAGGTCATGCAAGCCCAGGTGATTCAACCCAACTGTTTTATTCTCCTTTCACAAACATCAAAGCTAAACACACCCACACACCAAGCATTATGATTCAAACAAAAGGGCCACATGTGACAAAGTCTCGAGAATTTTTTTTCCCCACTTTTATTGTTCTTCTTTACTTTATGAATCAAAGTGACTGGAGAACAGAGCTCTGTGTGTACGGCTGCATGAACGGTGAAGCTGATTTATTGGCGTTTRTAAGATTGTATTTTCCCCACAGTCCGTATGGATGTGGCATGAGGCATTCTTCGAAKAAAAAGGAAGCAGTTCTAAAATAGAAACACTCAATTTGTTTCTAATATATGAATCTAATGATGTCGCTGCGCTGGGAAAAGCTTTAAATCCATACTGCTTCATCTGTCAGATTTGATCTATGGTTCTTAGGTGTCTTTTAATCACTCTAAATGTGAATCATTACTTTTGTTATTATCAGTAATTAGATCCTAGACATTTTGAAAAACAGTGCAGCGTTTGGTTAATTTACAATTAGCTGTCTTAAAAGAAAAAAAAAGTAATTTGTAGATGATTATTTTACTGTATTCAGTCAACACAAAACAATTATTACTAAAAATGTTTTTAATAATCATATTTAAGTTGTTTTTAATTTCTGGACTCCTCACCTTTGTATTTTATGACTCATAAAAAGGGCCCAATCCCAACCAGTATTTCATACAAATCTATTTTTTATTGTTATTTGTTGTTAGTTTTACCAGACAATATAGATAACATGCAGCTAACACTGGATGTATAGAAAAAATAGAATAATAAACTTTTAATTCTGTAAAATAACTTCTGCTCTTTTAATGTGTGATACTTAAGAAAGGGTATAAACATTTAATATCTTACCTGCTGTAGATAGTTCCTTTAAGACTACACTAAATGGAGTCAACACCAACCCATTTAAACAAAGGTCTCCAAACTTGTTCAAAGAGCTATCTACAACAGGTAAGATGTTAATTGTTCCTAACTTTTCCACAGAACCCTATAAGATCTTATTTATTCCTTGAAGTTCTCAGAAAACATTCACCTCTACACCCCTGCACACAGGCATGCACTAATCTGAGTGTGTGGGTGTAAGTCTGAGCAAAGAATAGAAAAACCTATATGTGCATCTAATTTCTTCACATCTTTTCTGATCCTGGCCTTTACCACAACGAGCTAATTGTCAGACTGACTCACGCAGCTGCTTCAGTGACTGCAGGCCTTCAGGACAGTGGACGGCTGCGATGATGGTGATAATCAAATGTCACAKAAATGAGTCTGGAGCGGAGCAGGTGAAAGAAGCACGTGTTTATTTTGGGGATTGAACAGATGCCAGATTAGATACCAAAATGAGAGATATCCTGGATGGACTGCATGTTGGGAACACAGAAAAAAAAAAGATATTTTATGTTAGTTTGACATTGTTCTGAGAAAATCATGGAAAAAGCCCATGCTCYGCTTTGATCACAGAGGAGGTTTTTCCTCAGTTCAGCCTGGCATGCAGGAGAAGTTGCCTCTTCTTAATAACTGTTARCCTTTGAGTTGTTGTGGCTCCACTACAATAATAACGTCCTGCTGTATCACTGATCTGCGTCCAGTCAGAACGAGGGGATGAATTATTCACAGGACACTAGGAGGTCACTAAAGCGTGGTCTCATCTCGTCCAAACAAAGAAAAGCCCACCAGGGATTCTTCCTAATCTGCATCCATGGCGACACATCTTTGACCACCGACAGTGAGACCCAAAGAACAACTGAGCATAAAGCTGCAGATTAAACAGATCTGATATGACTGTGATAATATAAAAAAAGAAAATAAAGAAAATAAAAGAAACATCTCTAAATTTTAGGCTTCAACTTGATCAAGAAGTGTAAAAATCTGGAATAATAAGCAGTCGACGTGCATTCCTTCAAAAAATATTGCTAGGCGGTTCGTTTTATTTTCTGAATTTTTGATTTGAGCGCAGATCAAATACTGCGAGCCTGTGGTAAATCATCTTTGAGGTACAGATTAAACCGATTAAAAAGCTGAAATAAAATGCAGCCCTATCATCATTAAAAGCCTTTTCAGAAGAATTTTCTGACTCAGAGCCAACAAAAAGATAAAGTTTATTGAAAAGCTTTAATATTAAATTACTGAACTTCTCATTAGATTAGTGCGTTTTCAACTCACTTCAGCTGCAGACTGTGCCGGCTGGACTTCATAACAATGCCTGTCCAAACCTGGGATTATTCTTTAAAACATACGTGAGTTGAGGTGACAGTAGTTTGTGTTATCTGTGTTTAATTTTATGACTGGATCTCAGACTTGATTTGTTATTTCCTGATAACAGTCWGACTGATATTTAGTTTCAGTGAAACTGCCTGGTCATCGTTCTGATGCAGCCCTAATCATCGACTTCCAGTCACTGCAGACACACAAACATGAGAGGAAACTCTGAAAAGCTTTTCTCTGAGTGTGAGTCATCATCACTGCCTCATTTGAACCTCAGTGCTGAATAATCTGGCCAGGCTTAATGTTCAAATGCAATCAAATCACACAGCCTGAACATTCAAACTGTTCTTCCCCCACCCCCCCTGAAATTGTTCTGCATTTTGTTCGTGTTACATCTTTCAATTTATTATACTTACAGGGTTTATGTATATTTTAAAATACAGTTGAAACCACATAATTATAGTTTTCTGTCTGACATTTAATCAGATCGAACTGTAGACTTGGGAATGTGAGGAAAGTAGCAAAAAACCTTCTTTAAAATTGTCCCAGGCATTCATAAAATACAAAGGTTTTTGGAAATCCTGACCTAAAACAGGAAAGGTTTGTTCTGATTCAGGCAACGAGAAAAAAAAATTGTCCAATCCTTTCAAGGAATGCTTCTTTAAATCCAAATTATTGCAGGTTAACTTGAAATTTTATCCAGCCTCAAGCAGAACAATAATTTGTTAATTTCCTGACCCTAGAATGAATGAAAACACAGTCGACTCTTCTGGTTCACGAGGAACTTTTTGTTTGATCATGAGGTGTATGGAGTCATCCTACAGAATTGTGATGAGGCCTGTGCGTGTCAATCAAGGAGTTGTTTGCTCTTAAATTAACGACTCAGCAATTCCTTATAAGGATGGAAAAATGTGCTAACCCTTACCTCACTTGTTAAAACAGCTTTCAGTGGTAAACATGTTTGTGTGACAAACTCCTTTACCGAAGGAACGCATGTAGGTTGACCCTGCTTTGTTTACTTCTGGGTGTGGTAGAAGGTTATAAGAAGGGATGACCCAGAACGTTCTGGGCAGAGCTTCACTTATTTGGCCCGAAGTCTTTTGATTTGGTCTAGGCTCTGCATAAACCTCACTGCTCAAGAATAACTTTTGTCTACAGAGTCATTTCTTTAAGCACTCCATCACTGTTGAGATTTTGGAGGACGTTCATCATCAGAAAATACACTTCAATCGGTGAATCGTTTGCTGTCAGCGTCTGAACATCAGACACTCTGCAGGCTTTGAAGAAAAGGCAGCACTTGTTGCTCAGGAACAAATGAAAACTCTCTGTACTGGTAGTTTTCCTCTTTTCTTTTTTCAGGTTTCTGTGGCCGACTACAAACAACACCAAAGGTGCATTCATCCACCAGCTGAACCAGTTAGACAGTCTACAGTCACAAGAGCTCTTTTTTTTTTCAAAACAGTAAAATATAAGAATAAAATAATGTCTCAGAAATGCAAAAAGATGTTTTGGAAAAGTTTTATTAGAAAATCTATATTATTTTAATCTTCAGTATTTTCTTTACATTAACCAGTTAATGATTTTTTCTTACATTCATGAGTCTAAAAGTATGCAGCATGAGAGCGACTTATTGCATATTTTCCACATAGGCATGGGTCAGAGTCACTGTCTTCTTAAAACAGAAGTTTAAAAATATCATTTGCTTTCATTTAAAAACTGAAATAATTGTATTACTTTTGACTAAATAATACAGTATATGTTGGTCATACTAATTTTTAGTCAGTTTTAATTTAAAAATGAGAGAACACGCGTGAACATGTTGCGTTTCTCTGCACTCCAGACTTTAAACCAAATGTGTGATCAGCTTCTTATGTTTATAGCATTTTCTGTTTATTTACAATATTTATATTCAAGGCTAAATTTTTGATTAAATCACGAGCATTAAGTTTATAATTTGGACTGTTAAGAAACAGTGGTATTTAAAAAAATGCAAAGGACATTATGGACATAAAATAAACAGTTTTTCACATAAAACGAGCTGTTCTGTTCGTCCAGCTGTTATGTCACATACTGTGCCTTCGATGTTTGATTGGTTTCCTTTAAGAAGGATAAAATCTGACAAACTGGTAGCCTCTGTAGTGAACCTGCAGCAAGTTGCACATATTTCACTTTTGTAGCTGGTTGTGAATATTTACAGTGGGTAAAATAAGTATTGAACACGTCACCATTTTTCTCAGTAAATATATTACTACAGGTGCTAATGACATGAAATTTTCACCAGATGTCGGTAACAACCCAAGTGATCCATACRTACAAAGAAATCAAACCATAAATGTCCAGAAATGAAGTTATTTGTAATAATGTGGAATGGCACAGGGAAAAAGTATTGAACACATGAAGAGCTCACTTGTGGAGAGCTTCAGAAAGACCTGGAATTAGCAGGTACGTTTGTTTCAAAGAAAACAATAAGTAATGCACTGAACCACCATGGCCTGTATGCACGCTCACCACGCAAGACTCCACTGCTGAAGAAACAGCATGTTGAAGCTCCTTTAAAGTTTGCTGCACAACATTTAGACAAGCCTGTGTAATACTGGGAGAATAAATAGTCTGGTCAGATGAGACCAACATTGAACTGTTTGGATGCCAGAATACACATCATGTTTGGAGGTCAAATGGCACTGCACATCAGCCCAAAAACACCATACAACAGTGAAGTTTGGAGGTGGGAACATCATGGTGTGGGGCTGTTTTTCAGCATATGGTACTGGAAAACTTCAAATAATTGAAGGAAGGATGAGTGGAAAAATGTACAGAGACATTCTTGATAAAAATCTGCTTCCATCTACCAGGATGATGAAGATGAAACGTGGCTGGACATTTCAGCAAGACAATGAGCCCAAACACAAAGTCAAGGAAACTCTCAGTTGGTTTCAGAGAAAGAAACTAAAGCTGCTGGAATGGCCCAGCCAATCACCTGACCTGAATCCAACAGAAAATCTATGGAAAGAACTAAAGATCAGAGTTCATAGAAGAGGTCCACGAAACCTTCAAGATTTGAAGACTGTTTGTGGAAGAATGGGCCAAAATCACACCTGAGCAATGCATGCCACTAGTTTCTCCATACAGGAGGTGTCTTGAAGCTGTCATTGACAACAAAGGCTTTTGTACAAAGTATTAGATAAATTTCAGTAAGTGTGTTCAATACTTTTCCCCTGTGCCATTCCACATTATTACAAATAACTTCATTTCTGGACATTAATGGTTTGATTTCTTTGTATGTATGGATCACTTGGGTTGTTACCAACATCTGGTGAAAATTTCATGTCATTAGCACCTCTAGTAATATATTTACTGAGAAAAATGGTGACGTGTTCAATTGATCGGGTTATTCATTAATCATGTTTTATGTTATTTTTCTAAAGTTTAGAGGAAAACCCATTTTCGTACACAACACAACTCAGAGCAACAGTACAAATAAACAAATAAAAAAAATGCATGTTTCCTTCTTTACTTTTTTGTAGAACTGGAGTGACAGAAATGTTTAGCGGTTTTGACTCTGGGACTTTTTGACACCGCAGTATAAACCCAGCTGACCCATGCCTGTTTTGTACAGAAGCCTCTCCTCTGTATTGGTCAAAGTTTTCTTTACTTTTTCTTGCTCTCCTCTTCTCCATCATTAATGACCATTGATGTTTTCTTTTATTTAATAGATTATTTTTCCTTTGATTTCACCATGTATTTTTTTAAAAAAAAGTACAAGTCTCTATAAACTTTCATTCATTCTCAGTCATCCTCCAGGTTGTGGCCGTTGACCAGGCCCGACTCCCAAAGCTGCACTAGAGGAGTCTTTTGCCTGGGGGTTCGAGGACTCTGGAGAACCTGCAGAGGAGGAGTAAGATGTGAGCACATTTCAAACAAGGAGACAGGCAGAGAGCTGAATCAAATAGGACAGATGTGTGAAAAGATGAAAAGAATTAAAACAAAACTGGAAAACTTAAACTGATCATTGTCTAAACACTATAAAAAGATTTTGAAATACCAGTTCAGTCAAGTTCATCTTTCTGTGAGCCGTTTAAACTCTGAATGGAACTCTAAAGTCTTGTCAGATCCCAGTATTAAAGGGAAACGGGTTGCAGATACTATTTTTGTCGAATTTTGTCTCTGCTGTAAGGATGAACTGCTACCAGAGTTAATGACACACACTCTGGATCAAGATGCATCTTTTGATGATTATTTTTAAAATATTTTCTTTTCAAAGCTGGAATGGCGAATTAAAAAAAAGATTATTTATGTGCTTGGCATTAGAGAGGATACATTTATTTTCTTGAGAGGACTTCATTATGCGTCAGTGTGAGGTTAATGCAGAACCATGTTCAGTGTTGCCAAGTATAGTTACCAGTTAGGTCCTGAATTAGCGAAAGGAAAAGAGTAACAAAAATCAATAGGAACATGAAGAGGCGCCCCTGTTTCTCTGTAAAATGAATCCACACAAACATCCACTGTGTAGAGACTCAGTTACTCCCTTCTTCTCTAACTCTCAGAGCTGTTTGCCTTCTACCTGCACTGATAAGCACCTTGCTGTGTTCAGTATCTTATCAGATATTTGTGTCCCATATTTAATACCAAAAAAACCCTGACTTCTTTCTTCAAAGTTTTTTTTATTTCTAACTAGACAAAGTCCAGCAGTTAAAATTCATGCTGCTAAGAAGCTGCTTTAATCCCTAATGTGACATTTAATTAAAGCATCAAAAGCTTTATTTTGTTTCCTTAGAAGCATCTGAGAGACTCAGAGAGGTGATTTGCCTACATTTTCATGTCCTTTAGTGTACCAGACTGGTTGGGTTAGTTTGTTCATTTATATTGTAGGACAATCCAAACTGGAGCAATGCGGCTGTGAGGAGGAATCTATGACGACAACACACCTCTGGCTGGTTAATCTTTGCCTCTTCAGCCGGAACCGGGGGCCACGCAGACAACCTGCTCCCTGACTGACGCGCTGCAAGAGACACGGGTTATTACTGACAGGTTTCTGGCTTTATGATTAACGAGAGCCCACGTATAAAGTTCAGTGAAAATCAGAATAACTACAGAAAGAAGAGAGAGAAAGAGAGGAATTTACTTGAGCATCGATATGGTTAATTACAAACCAGTCACAGGTTTAAATATGAAGTGGTATCAAAGGTTGTACAGCTATAAATTGTTATGTAACACACATTTCCTTAAGTGCGATGAACCATAAAACACAAGTGCTGTGACACACCCTGGTCACTTTGTACCAGCTGGCACTGACACAATGACAACATCTTTCTTTTCCTTTTTTTGTATAGTGAGAAAACCTATAGAGGAAGCTCATTGTTGCAAAAGGTGCAGCAGTGATTTACAAACTGCATTTTCTTCACAAATGAAACACCAAAAACTAAAAATGTAAACAGAATTATTGAACAGCTAAAATTTAAGAGAGTCGTTTACGAGAGGGCTTATTTATTTATTTTTTATAAATGAACAGAATCTAGTTTTTTTCTTGTGTCTCCAGAGCAAAATAATCTTTTGTAAGAGCTCACAGTTTAGTTTAGAAAGTTGTTTTCTACAGAACATAATGTGCATGCTGGTGCAATTTCAAAAGGTCTTGCTCTTTTGTTTAATAAGTCACAGATTTTTCTATTGCCAAAGGCAGACTCATTAATACAACTCTTTCCAGACCCTTTGGTGCTTGACTAACCTGTTGAGGATCCTCTTCCCATCTTGGCTGATGACTCGGGAACTTCAGGCGGAGTCGGCTCCGTCCTTGAAGATGTTACAGCACCGTTCATACCCCCATACAGGCTGATTCGCATTTTGCGAAGCTCCATCTCCCTCTCTTTGGACTCCAGGATATCCTGCTTTACTTTCACTAAATTAGTGGAGGAGCGTAACTTGAAAAAGGGGTTCTCCTTAGATGCCACGTCCTCCTGTCCCTGCTCAGTCCCCAGTCTTGCCTCGCCCGATGACTTGGAAGGGTTTGCAGCATTAGCAGCCTTCGCCTCAGCTTTGACACGGTTCTGTTTCTGTGCCGGACCAGTCTGGCTGTTTTCCAAAATGGTGATCTGACAACTTGTCCCCTCAGAGAGTCCTGGTCCTCGGAGAGTGGAGTCATTTGAACCTCCTTCGGCAGGGTTTCTGTTCTGTGTGGAGTTCAACAGGATGGTTTTCCTCTCTGGGTGTGAATTACTTAAAGTGGAGACTCTGGATGGAACGTCCTCTTGACTCTCCATGGATAAATCCTCGGTACTACCAGAAGACAAGGATGAGGTCTTAGTTTTGGCCGAGACCAGAAGAGTTGAGTCCCGAGGTGCCTGAAAGGCCTCAAAAAGCTGCTTGCTTTCTCTTATYTGGGGAACCGTACCTTTGTCGTAAAACCCAGGAACTTTCCCACTCCTGACCAGATCCTGCTCCCTGCGACTCTCCTCGTGGATCTCCTGCTGCATCTTCTTGCCTGCRAATTCCCTGTCTTTGTTCTGAGACCACTTAGCTGTCACTGACTGACTTAGAAGACCTTTCCTTAAAGGGATCTCCACGTACTCAGGAGAGGTGCGAGGGTTAGGAAGACCTCTGGACCTTCTCAGGCTCTTCTCTCGCTCGATGGCCCGTCGGATCTCCCGCTCGATGGGAGTCTCTGGTGCCGGGGAGCCTGCTGGAGAGACGGTGGTGCCCTCCAGAKTTCTGTATGGTGAGACGTCCTCTGATACTCCATTTTCACTCTGGTTAGTATCAGACGTGTTATTCTTCATCCTGGTGTTTCTGCTCTCTGTGGAAGGACCACTGCAGCTGTATTTTCCAGTCTGAGCCTCTTGAGTCTGGCCTGTTTGTTGGTATCCTAACAGTTCTGAGCTGCCTGACCACTCAGCCCACTTGATCTCTCCAAGAATGCTCTCTTCCTGCCCTTCCTCTTCACCTGTCTGCCTGTTTTCTCTTCCTGTCCTCTCCCCCACCCTTTCTCTTACGGCTGCGACACCGCCACAGCCTCGAGAAGCTTCCCCGCCCTGATCGGGAGGCTCCATGGCAACAGCAGACAAAGGTGGAGATCCCTGGTCAGACACCTGTTGTGCTGCTTCCTGGATCTCTCCCCTGGGGTTGAGCTCACGCCGCCTCTGTGGCAACAGCTCCTCCTCCTGTTCTGTCTYTGCCGTCGCAGAGCAGGAGGCCTGGGAAACCTTGCAGCTCAAATCAAACGTGTTCCACTGCTGCAGAGTTGCTCCCTCTTCCTCTTCATCGTTTTCATCAGCACATAGAGGGGAGTTGACAGTGTGAGGGTGTTGGACAGGCTGAGATGTACAACTGCTGTCAACATTTTGCTCCACTGCTGAATTAGTTTTTGATATTTTATCTTCCTCCTGATAAATTGGCTCACTAACCTGAGGGGTCTTTGGCCTTTCTCGGCTGTTCTGGCTCTGAAAAGAAGTGAGGTCCTCTGTTGGGTCTAAAATGACTTCCTCCACACTGATCCACTCACTCGCCTCGTCCTCGAAGCTGGAAAAACCTTCTTCTTTCTCACAGCTTTCTACTTCTGATGAGTCACTGAAAGAGAAAGGAGGAGGTGGGAAATCCTCCTCAACAAGATCCTCTTCAGGTTCTTCCTCAGCAGAAAATGCTTCCGATGGCTTTTTGGGAATTTGTCCTGGAGTTCCTCTCGGCGTTTGGGTTACATCAGCTGTTTCGATTACTCGGATTGTCTGATTCTCCTGTGGAGTTTCGACTTCAGCTCCAGGCTCCATGACATCTATGTTCTCCTCGGGTGATGCCCTGGGTGCTTCTTTGTTTTGCACAGGAGAGCCGGGGCTCGCGGTCATGCCCTCTTCACCCTGCAGCTCTCCCGGTGAACTGACAGGACTCTGTTCCTGCCAGGATGTGGGGTTTGTTGCCATGGCAGCGGGTCTGCGGATGTAAAAGCTTTTGGAGCAATCAGGCTGTTTGGCCTAAAGTCAGAAATCAGAGGAAGGCAGAGGGGAGAGGGGTAATTATCAGAGTTTAACAATAAAACCTCATCAGTCATTAGAATCTATTATTTCAGCACGTGTCAGACAATTTGCTCGTACCACCGAGCAAAAATATCATCTGTATTTAAATGTTCACGAGTTCAGAAATGTTAATTATTCATTTGCATTTTATTGTTTCATCTGATCTATGCAGAGCAGACAGGAGATACATATTAATAGACTAAACAAAGTCCTGTTTGGATTTGCAAATCATAATTTTTCCTTGCGTAACTGTCAACATCTGCAACAAGTGTTTGATAGAAATCACTTTCTAATTTATCACTTAGTGGTAAATTAAAATAGATTTTACCAGCTCAAAGAGAAACCAGACAAATGCATTTCTTCTTCTTCAGTTCTTAATGGCTGGTGAATAGAAAACTAGAGATAAATCAGATGTTGACAGCTTTGCAGAATTTACAATCAAATTCAGCTTTTTTTGTTTGCTGCCAGATTTATGATCACATTCGACAAACAATAAATGAAAGACGTCTAGACATTCAATGAAACCAATAAAATAGCTTACTCCATGATTATATGTCCACATTTATCTCTCTTTTAAAAATGTATTTATTTATTTATTTTGGTTTGATGGTTGAATGATAACAGTCTGTGCAGTAGCTCTTGATTCATGGCAAGCATTGACCAATGTTATGTTTTAGGAAAAATACTTCTGTTTTAGAGCCAAAATATCCTGGAAAAAAATAAAATCCTTGATTTCTTCCTACATAAACACACCTGAATTACATGAATGAGTGACTGAAGTTTAGCAGGCAATTCAACCATTTGAATCAAGTGTGTTGAAGAAGGAAAAAGAAAGAAATGAAAACTTACAAGACAGTGGCCACAACCTGAAGTTTGGCCCCACTGTATCCAGCAAAATTTAACTAGATTAAATATAACATGAGTAATGAAGTATATATATA